CAGCTTAGAAAGTGCAAGTGAAACTGCAGTTTGTTAATGTGCTTGGGTTAGACGTACCTGAAGAGACGCAGGACAAAGCAGTTCCTGTTTTTATGGAGAAGCACCTAGGGAAGGCTGGGAAATGCTGTTTGCTTTAATGGGCATCCCTCCTCAAGCTAGAGGTAAATTCAACAACTTTTCCCCATACTTACACATTGTTGGTGCTTGAGAATCAAGGAATCATATCTCAGTTTGGAAGGGACCGATAAGGATCAGTGGTTGGACTCAATGATATTAAAGATCCTTTCCAACATAAAGAAGTCTGTGGTTCTGTGATCCTAGGAAACAAGAAATCACATAGTCTGACTCCAAAAAATGCATGTTGTCTGTCTTATATTAGGTGGGCTTTCTACTGAGTATAAAAAACAAAAATCAAACCAAAAAAGGGCAGAAAAGGGAATATTCCTCCTCTCAGCTGCAGGCAAATACCACTTTCTGTTTCCAGGACATATCTGTATTTTGATTAATTAGTACTACTCCTGTCCTTTTCCAGCTCTTTTAAGGCTCTCTTCTGTAGACTGCCTTGCATGTTTAATGAGCAAGACCTATTGTGTTCCCCACTCAAAATATTTTAGGCCAGTTCATCTACCTGTGGTGAAGATTTACTTCAATTTCCAACTTCATGCAAAACCAGGGTGGGCTATGGGGACACACAACTGTGACTTGGTATCCCCTGTTTTCTCACTGCCTTTTGCCAGCAAAGGGGAAACACGGTTGTGCCCAGCAAAGGCTGCCCTGACCCTGAGCACCAGGGAGGAACTGCACCAAACATGGATCTATGAAAAATAAAAATTCAGACACAAATAAATAAATATAAATAAATGTGTATATTTAAAAAATCCCAAACGAGCTCGTTGTCAAAGAAGTGCCTGAAAGGGTTCCCTGATCCTCGCCATGATGAAGATCCATCCCTCCTCTTTCCCTCCTCCTCTGCACCTCCTGCCCCTTCTGTTGGGGAAATGACTACAAAAAATTCTTTGCCCTTAGTTGAACATTAACTTCCAGAATCAGCTTCCCTGATTGCCTTCTGATTACACTGGGTGATTAACTCTGGCCCCTGCTAATGGCAGGCTGGCAGGCTTTGCCTTTATCCACCCATGGATATTGTGTGCCTTGTTCTGTGTGTCAGGGAACAGGGTCATGTTTGTCTCAGCCTACCTAGGTAAGGAAGCTTTTTCTGATGTAAATGCCTTGTCTTTGTCTTAACACAAGCAATGCTGACACAAGGTGAGCACAGAATGCTTGGGTCCATAATTGGGAGGCCATAACTCCACCTGACTCCCACCAGTGGAAGCTGGGCGTGACACAAGACATGGAATATCCCTGGAGATGCAGGCAGGCTCTGGGAAGGTGCTTGCATGTGGAACGGGCTGCTAAATATAGCACTGGAAACTGCAGTCAGGAATTTATTTTCTGCAACACTAACCAAAGAGGAGTAACATTAAACTGATAATCAGTTTCCACCAGTTTCCATTCCAGCTGTCGATTTTCTGGAAACCCCCACTTTTGTAGAAAGAACTGTTGAAATCATCTGTCTATGAGTGACCTGCAATAGTTGCACAACTGGAAGGACTGTGTAAGAAATAAACCATCTTATAGCTGCTGCTAAATCAATTGCAGACGATTTTATTCAGAAGCAGCATGGAGCATACTTCTCTTTTACACCCTCAGAGTTCAGTATGTGCTGCTCAGGCTGTTTCACAGCCAAACCAGTACCTGCCACACCTGTCACTTAATGCCACATCAAAGGCTTTCAGAGCTGGGCTGGGTACTTGGATTGTGTCCCAGGAGGACCTGACCTGCAGCAGCCATGGGGGCACTGCCACCCTCATCCCAGGAGTTATCTGCCTGTGCTGATGGAAACAGCACAGCATTTGAGACAGGAGTGGTGACCTGCTGCTCTGCACTCTCACAGTAAAGGCAAATTGCCCTGTTCAACCAGCAGTCAAATGCTCAATACATCACACTGCAATGACTGCTTATGGAACAGCACTTCTGGGTGGGACCATAACTCCCAGAGGACACAGGCTGAGCAGTGCATTGCAGGAATGTAAAATCTGTTTTAGACTGACCAGAGCCACTGCTTTCAGCTACCTGAAATACCCTGTGAAGATATCTGACTTTCTTTTCGTGTACAAGAAGCGCAGTTTGTGTTAAACAAGAAGAAACTGCCCAGCATTTCATTGCAGATGGTGTGGAGCTGTGCCAGAAGCATCTGAGGATAGGGAGAGCAGTCACACTGGGTGCTTTGATGCCTGTTGACAGGCACTATTTCAGAGGAAAAAGCACAGCACCCCATTTTGAGTCACAACGTTTGGATTAATATATTAAAGCAATTCAAACATTAACACCTTCAAATGAACAAGACATCAGCAGTGTTTTGGTTGGCACAGGAGGGGATTGGACCAGGTGATCCCCAGACATCCCTTCCAAGCTCAACCCTTCTGTGGCTCTGCAGGCAAGGTAATGAAGGTATTTAGAGCCAAAGTCAGGAAGAATGTGGCTACTGTGGCACATAATTAATCCTCCAGCTGCCAGAGTAGGACTTGCAGACCCAAGTTAAGCTGCTAGCCCAAGCACCCAAAGCTGGGGACAGCTTCCCTGGCTGAAGAAGCAATTTGTGACCTGAGAAGGGCTGTGGAGGGAGCTTGGTGGTTAGGGCTGCTCTCTCAATCTGAGATATTCCCAGACATCAATAATTATAATGGTTAAAGTCAGCAACAGATACACTTGGCAAGCACCTTACACACACAGAGGGGTGTCTCTGTTCACTGGGACTTCCTCAGTATGTGGCTAAGAGTGTTTCCCTGTTCCAGATTACTAAAAAAAGCTGAGTAACACTTTGCAGAATCCTCACAGAATCATAGAATCGTTTTGAAGTGACTTAAAGATCACCTCATCCTGACCCCTCTACCACAGGCAGGGACACCTTCCACTAGAGCAGGCTGCTCAGAGCCCCATGCAGCCTGGCCTTGAGCTTTCAGGGATAGGGCAGACACAGCTTCTCTGCACAATCTGAGCCAGCGTGTCACCACCCTCACAGAAAATAAAATCTTCCCAATATCTAATCTAAACCCACACTCTTTAGTTTAAAGCCATTTAGGTATTGGAGTCCCTTTACCAGCATTATGAGAAGGACTTCACTCTTTAGAGAAAATAATCAATAACAACTCTTCTCTTGGGACCACAAAAGGCACCTTACTTACTGCAACTAGAGAAGTTTTATATGAGACCATTCCTGGAGTTCCATGCCTCATGGTGGGTATCACTTATCCTACTGCCCACTTTCTCGAGATGGGAACTTATTTTCCAGGCCCTGTTCAAATGCTGAGCTAATCTGTACCAAGGGTTAAGTCATCTACCACTCCCTGCTCAAGGCCTGCAGGCAAGATCAAAACTTGGCATTCACCTAAAAGTGAAACAGAAAGTACATCTGGGAATTCTGTGCACTTCACAATATGGCGGAACCTGACTGGACGCTGTAGTTCCTTGGTCTAGAGGAACTACAAGAGGTGCCCTCAAGAAAATACACAAAACACCTTTGTCTAGATCTGTAATACATTTTAGCAGAATAGGCCCTAAAATAAGTATTTCTTTTAAACTTTCAATCTACAAAGTCAAAATAGGAAAACTTGAGAACTGAATTTCGAGTATTCAAGTTACTTTATAAGAGGAGCCACAGCAGCTCCAGTTCCTGCCACATTCTATAGTTACACCTCAGTGCTAAAACTAATCATGTACACCCCACAGAAGCCATGTTTTGACAGAGGTATCTGAATGGCACTATTAAGGTTTCATATCAAAAACTTTACTTGCCCCCATTCCTACCAAGAGCAAAAGGAAAACACTCTGAAGCTCAAGGATGAAGGGTGTCCTTCATTATCATCCAAATAATTCATGCAGTAAGAGGGAGAAATCGAGATAGCATTTGAAGAAAAAGGAATTGTATTTAATATTTAAATGCCTAAGGCTAGCACTGCTACACAAATTACATGATGAATTCTAGTGAAATAAGACATGATTTAAATACAAAAGCTGGACTAAAAAATGCTCTCACTTCCCAGAAGCAATGAGGTATTTTCACTGTACAAATTCTGAAAGTTCAAAATCACCTGCAGATGTTTCCCTCTGCACTGTGATCTCTGCTCAGTGCCAGACAATCACTAGTTCACTCTGTGTGCGCTTTTCAAATGGCCAAGGAAAAGTGCATAACCACCTCTAAAGATTAAGAACTGATTGCATCTGTCTTGCCACATTTGAACAGAATGTTCAGCCACTTTTTCAAGTCATTCTGATATATGGTGGAGGTTTGGATGTGTCTTCTTCTGCATCTGCATCCTGGGCTGGAAACCGATCTGTGAAGGTAAAAATTCCCCGCCCAGGGCCTGTGTGAGAAAAGAAAGTGAAAAACATTAAACATGGTATAGATGTTTGCACAAAATCCTCAGTGCCTTTTGGTTATCAGGATTTTGGCCCGGGATGTAAACCTTATTCAGAATGTTCCTTCCTCATCCCTGGTGAACACCCAGATATGTGGAGGCAAAGGAGTTACTCACTTTGTACAGCACAAATCATTTCCACGGCCTGATTTTGGTCCTCACTGGGCTGCAACCATTCCTATGGAAAAAACAGCACCATCAAATACCTCACCTGGAAATTTGTTCAACAAGATACACCTGAACTGATTTTAAAAGTCTGTGCAGTCCACAGCTCCTAACATGTTTCAGTTTGAAAGTTTAAAGCAACATTACCCACTCGGTGTCTTTAGTGAGGAACAGCTGCCTTGTGGCCTGCACCCTTTAATTCCTTACCAAACCAAATGGTTGGATGCACATGTTTAATAACACAGCACCAGAACTGCTCTAGCAGAGAAGCAGTTGGTATTTATTTATTTACTGAGCTCACTTAGCAGAGATGCCGTGGGCCCCATCACTTGAGGCAGAGTCCTTAGGAATGAGGAGTGAATTACACGTCAGCCTCCCAGCACTGCACACACAGCACTGGAAATACTTTTATTACTGGATTTGAAGTTCCAGCATGTAAGTACCAGCAAGTCTTTGTAATGCTGCACCAGAAGCAACTGGTGGCTTAAAGATGAGAGGAACAGTTTTTGAGGATAGCAGAATTCCTGGGAAATGGGGCCACAGTAGCTTCAGCACAAATGGTTTGGAAAATAGAGATAACTTATATTAGATGCTACATGAGACTGTAATAAGAGGGAGATAGTAAAAGGAAAAAATGTAAGAAATAAAAAACCCTTCTAATATCCCACTTAATTTCTTAGAATTAGCCCTGCATGACTGTGTCACTATAGGACACAAAAGAACAGAAGTGCACAGAGCTGCTCTCAAGGTGAAGAAAAAGGGGAAGTTTATTTTCTGACTCCAACATTTGTAGTTTTCCAAGAGTGACAGTGGATTGGAGGGTGACAGTGCCACCTCTCCAATGACACTGGACAAACTAACAGTCTATCAACTTTCCCTTCCTCCATAAAGGAATGCAAAACAATGAGTTATTTACAGGAAGCGTGTCAGAAAGCTCGCTACAAGAATGTCAACAACAGAAGGCTTAGAAAATCTTAAAAAAAGGGTGACACGACTGAGGTAGGAGCTGAGACCAGGTTCATAGAGGAAAAACACCCCTTCCCCTGGGTTTCTTGCCTTCCCACCAACACTGAGCAGCAACCAGGCTGTGCCCTGGGCTCCTCACTCCCTCACTCACCATGCCAGTGACGCTGTCGTAGCAGGAGCAGCGCGGGAGGCTCCGGCAGCCCAGGTAAGCCATGGCCAGCACACAGCAGGCACTGCAGATGGACACGGCCAGCATGGCGATGTTGGCACCCTGGACAACCCTACTGAGCACAAACCTCTGCAAACACAAACGGACACAGTAAAGCCATACTCAAAAAGTGACACTCTCCACCAAAAAATAACCTAATGACTGCAAGAATGCTGTCATTGCATGACAGGAGATTGATTCATAGCCAGTGCTATTTGAGATTTTCCTGTGCTCTGAAAAGCAAGCCAAGTATGAACTTTAAACTGAGCAAGCAGGGAAATAAGGCTGCTGATTAAATGTGAGATGCTATGCAATGGCAATTGGGTTTGGAAATAGCTTTGACAATGAGTAAAAACCCAAGGAATGGCTGCTCTACTTCACACTGAGCATGAGAAACATTGTTTTGCTGCACTGCACGTTATAGCAGCCTGGCATTTTGATTTGTCCTCCAATAAACTGATGATCAGCCTCATCTCTCTGGAATGCCTTTATCCCTGCAGCAAGCAATTGCTTGTAGACCGGAGATACAAAAAGGCTTCATTCCTTCTCTACAGCTTTACTGCGGAGGATACACTTGAAATAACACCAGGTTTACCCAGCTGACCTGTAACTTCATCACCAGAAAGATTCCAGCCTTGCAAGCACTGTCTCAAACCAGGCCAGGGATGCTCTCAGCACCTTTCCCTGAGCAGCACCAGTATTTTTCCACGGCTCAGCCCACACCTCCCCTTTGCACTGCAAAGCAACAGCAGCCAACCTGACCTAGTGTCACCCTCCTAGGAGTCTGGTTCTGTTTGTAAGCCACATCTGGCACTGCCTGCAGATGAAGGGTGGCGTGTTCCCCAGTAACAATTGTGATATCAATACTTACAGTATGGACAACATGGACTGGGGCAGAACTCAGCTCCTCCTCTTCACCATAGCTCAGTGTGAAGGAGCTATAAGCTATTACAATGAAGATGGCAACACAAGAGATCATGGAAGCAACTATCAGTACATTCACCTAGACAGACAGAGAATTTTGGTGAGAAAAAGAAGGACAGCAGGAATCAAAGCTGTCCTTGGGCCAATACAAGCATTACAGCTTGTATGGTAGCCTCTGACCTACCACAACACCGCAACATCCCCAGGAACAACAGCCAAACACAGAGAAGTGGAGGTTTTCATAACATTGAGTTTCTGAGTTACAGCTGAGTCCTGAATATTAATCAGAGGTGCCACTTAAAGACCTCTAATTTGCATACAGTATCCTCCCTTGGAGTTTACATGGCTGGAGAAACCCACCTAGGAAATGCAAACCTCTTAACTCATTTCAAATTTTAGTGTACACAGTGCTCAACAACATGAAGGACCAAAAGAAAAGCATTGAAATGAAGTGTTTTTACAGAGTTTTGCTTTTTATTAGGGCCAGTGCCTGTCTGCTGCAGCAGAAAGCAAGGTAATACTGCATCCTCCTCTTGGTTATAAAGACAGCAACTTTTGTGAAGGTAACTCAAAGAAATAAGCTCTCAATTCTGCAGGAGGACCAGTCAGCTCATTCCCTCCTCAGACTGTTTTTGATTGCCCCGGTATTCTTCCCCTGCCCCATGCACACAAACACCCATCTGCCCCTCCAGCTTACAAGAACTGGGTTCTTCCTCTGCGAGGAGAACAAAGCCAGGACACCTGGGACTCCCATCACCTGCAGAGCACAAAAGGAGATGGCAGCTTGGAAGACTAGCAGCAGATTCAGAAGATAAACTGCTACAGAGTAATGAAAAGTAATGAAAGGTGTTTTCAAGGCTTGGATCAGAGTAACTGCTGCATCAGAAATGGGAAGAGAATTTATCATTTCTTCTGTTTTTCTCTGCAGCATCTCTTGGATGCAGGACATGGGTGACATGCACCTTGCCCACTTGCTACCCACACAGCACAGTCTTGCTACTGCTGACCAGAGCTTTGTGAGTCGGGAAGAATAATGAACCTGATTGAATAACTCTGATTTAAGGTGCTGAAAATGCACGTTGCTTTGCCAAGTCCATATGCATCTTGGAAAGGAAAGAAAGATGCTAATGAAAGGAGCCAAGCAGCCTCTGCCCTGGAGACAGCTCTTCAGTGTGATTTCCTTGCAGCATGGCTCAGCAGGGTGAATCAGGGTGCTGAATGCCAGGGAGCAGGGACACCTCTTGCCCACACCTCACTGCAGTACCAAAATTAGGGGCACTGTGCTGTGGGACACAGGTTCATCTACCTGAGCAGAGGACAAGGTGTTCCCCTCCTCATCTTTGGTGGCCTCTCTGTGGTCACTATGCTTCTGCAAAAAACCCCAGTCAACTGTCACTGTGTCCCATTTTCTACATTATCCACCACAAATGTATTTAATTTAGTTCCTTCAGAGGAAAGTCTGCTTGCACTCTTCTGGCTATACCATTATAAGGAAATTTTTATTAATTGAGTTCAAAGCATAAAACAAGGGAAGAGGTGGCAAGAAATCCTGGCTTCCCTCCCACCCCCAATATGAGTACTAGTAGGTAACAGCGGGGGAAAAAAAACACGGCAAAACAAAGCATAGAAAATATAGTAAAAGTTTACCATGCCAGCCCAAATTGGAGCTCTGGTTTTGCCCAGCTGGGACTCTGTTCTGAAAATGCCATCTATGAACCCACAGGTGACACAGACGGTGCTGAAGGCAAGCTGGAACATCCCCAGCACGATCATGTTCCTCTGGTTAAAGATGAAATACCGATACCGATCCATTCTGCTCTGATTCCCACATAAACCCTTGAACATGGAGACTGGCGAGCTGCACCGGGGCCTTCCAGGAGAAAGGCTCTTCCTAACAGGAGAGAGAGAAGGGCCGGGATCATCGGCTGGGGCTGCTGCTCTGTGCCAGGAGCCTGGGACACCATTCCCGACCATGCTGGAGCGGAATGCGCGATTGTCACCTCAGACCCCATGGCTGACCTTCCCCCTCCGGGGTTTGTGCTGCCCTCAGAGCGCAGGGGTGCCCAGGCCCTCTCCCATCCTTCTCCTTTTGGGGTTTCTGCTGCCCTCAGAGCGCAAGGGTGCCCAGGCTCTCTCCCATCCTGGTTTGTGCTGCCCTCAGAGCGCAGGGCTCTCTCCCATGTGGAACTAAAGTTCCGCACCTCTCCGGGAAGGCGCCGCGGCTCCCTTGGGGCGACCAGCACCGAGCCCCGACACTCCCCGCGGCTGCTGCCGCCCACCGCACGCCCTCTCCAGGGGCGGCTCCGGCTCCGTCTCCCATGTGCCCCCGTGTCCCCTTGCTCCGTTCCGGCCCGCCGCGCCCTCACCTCACGGACAGCTCCTGCTCCGCGGCCGGGGAACGGAATTCCCGGCCTGTGTCCAAAGAATTCCCCGAGCAGTGCCCTGACCCAGGCAGAATTCCCAGCCCGTCCCCAAAGAATTCCCGGAGCCGTGCCGTGACCCAGCAGGGCCGCGGCTCCTCCGCCCGCCCCGTCCCACCTCGCCGGGAGCGGCCGCCCCGCCCCGGGCACCCTCAGGCTGCCGGGACCGAGCCTTCCACGCATCCCTGCCCCACAGCAACTGGGCCTTGTTTATCTCTCTATTTCCCCCTGCCGCTGTAAGTGCTGCTTCACACCATACACGTTTGCAACCTGTGAGATGGGGAAGGCGGCACAGGTGGCTCACAGGTCCTGTTGAATGCAACATCCCTGAAAATGCTGAAGGCCAGGCTGGATGGGGCTTAGGGTAACCTGCTCTAGTAGAAGGTCGGGGAGCAGAACTAGATGATCTCTAAGCGTCGCAGACATCTTTTATGAAAAATCCTTTCCTTAGGATTTTTCCTCCTGAGAAGCTGAGAGGCCTCAGGAACAAAATGTAAACAATGGTTACCTGCTGCTGTGGAATGCAACAGGTGCATCTGTGATTGGCCCATGTTGGATGTTTGTAATTAATGGCCAATCAGTCAGCTGGCTCGGACAGAGAGCCGAGCCACAAGCCTTTGTTATCATTCTTTGCTATTCTATTCTTAGCCAGCCTTCTGATGAAATCCTTTCTTCTATTCTTTTAGTATAGTTTTAATGTAATATATATAATAAAATAATAAATCAAGCATCCTGAATAATGGAGTCAGATCCTCGTCTCTTCCCTCAACCTGAGACCCCTGTGACCATGGTCACATCTAAGATCTCTCGCAGTCTAAGCCACGTTGCGCTTGTAAGATTCCATGAAACTCCACGCATATTGTTAATGACTTGTATGATTGGTTCTTTAGGATGACAGGCAAAGGCTCCCCTGGCAAAGAGGAGTAAGAAAAGCAGTAGAGGTGACAGAAAAAACAACAAGCGGTGTCAGGTGTTCATTCATTACTTACATAATGTGGCCTAGATGTGTGTAACTGTGTGAAATCCTGCTCCTGTGCATCAGCAAAAACTGTGGTCACACAGGACACAAGGAAGGGGGAGAGGTCAGAGGATGCCCAAAACGGTGACATACAAATAACAAGGAGAGACAGTAGTTTTCTGTTGAATAGTTTATTTTTGCATTGCCTTCATAGCGCAATTAAAGCAATCTTTAAAATTCACTTATTACAAATATTTGTCAAGTCTGTTTTTCCCCAGAAACACCTCTCTTGCTTCCTTGCACATACGCCCAAACACACTATAAAAACCCCATTCATAACATGAAAGGAAGGGCAAACATCATTCATGTAAACATCTTTCTTGTAGTTATCCATTTTTAAAAGTCATGAATAAACCTACAGATGTTCAGTAAGGCTCATAGTTCGAGTACAAATGTCATAAAACACCTGTCAAGTACTGTACACAAGTTGAATACTCCGGGGTTAACTGTTAACACATGTACAAGCTTACCCCAAAGATTATTCTTTAGCACTTAGTTCTTCAGAACAGAAACACCCAGTAATTATGGGCTAGAGAGTATTAAAATAGCAGAAGGCCCAGCAGAAACTGTTAAGTAATACACAATTTTAGTCTGGTTCTTAGCTCAAAGTTAAACTTGTTACAGCTGCAGTAGGAAAAGTTTTCTAGAAGGGAATCTACAGGAAGGAGGGATGGGTTGTTTGTAGGGTATCATGAAGAGACAAGCTGAGAGGTACGTCCTGGAAATGTGACTAGCCTTGCTACTGCAATTATTTATGGCGGCTGCATGTAATGCTGCATAAATACCTCCCCAAAGAGCAGAAACGACCATTTGTAATTTTAAGGATCATTTGTTGCATCTCCCCTAAAAAAAAAAAATAAAAATTATCTACTTACTGGTATTCAATTACACTTGCATCTTACAAAAAGACATCTCTTTAAATCTGGTTTAGATCTTACTGGAACTTTTTTTTAAATAGTCTTTCTACCATGAAAATATTTCATACAAACATCATTTTACATACAAATGTTAAAACCTGTGAAGCGGGTCTTCCCACACTCATGATTTTATGGCTTGAACTTTTAATTGCTTATAATTTTTGTACAGATATTTCTCCTAGGGGAAAAAAAGAATTACAGCAAAATGGTAAAGAGAAAAAAGGGCGGGAAGGTCTACTGCCCGAAGACAGAGGAGGGTCCACTCAAGACAGTGACCTTAGTGTTCAAAGCCTTTGATCCGGGACAAGTAAACATGCACTTAATCTTGCACCTCTTTTTTTTCCTTAAAAAAAAAATCCCTTATAAGACTGCTTAGAAATACTTTGTCCAACAATACAGTTCTCATGATTCCATTACATGAAACATAAGGAACAAGTTCACTGCAGGTGAAACTCATTTGCACTTGCAGATGAAGCTGCTCCCACCTGCTTTCCTTGCTTGGATGCCCTTGGCACACAGCAGTGCAGTGGAAGTGAGGAACAGGCAGCACCCCAGCATAAAAGAAGATACTTCAGTACCACCGTGTCCAAAGCAATTTGGTTTTTTTAAGTGCTTGGAGGTGAAGCCCTCAGGCACCCACAGCTCCAGCAATTCTGCTGGGCCACAGGAGAACAAAGCAGCAGATACTTGGCTCTGTGTAATGTTACCTCATCACAGCAGCAGCATTTTCCTAAAGACCATCAAACTGAGTGAAAGGACACAGATCACAGAGGTCTCTGGGACAGAAGCAACCCCGCTGCACCCCTGGCACAACCCAAGTGGTGAGCGCTGGTTTGACTGGAGGACAAGGGCAGACAGCTGGGAAGGAAACAAAACAGTGTCAATTTCTGTAATTTAGGAGTTTCTCTTAGCAGATGGGATATGTTGGCTACTCTGCTCCTCCAGTGCCTGACAGAGGCTGAGAAATCCCTGACAGAGCTCTTGCTTCGTATAGCATGTTGCTTCCAGCTCCTAGCAACATGCTACAAGACCCCTGGGAAAAAACTCACTGCCATCTGTGTGCCAAGGAGAAGCCTGCCTAGTCACTCCCAAAACATGCAGCCTCACCTCATGGCCTCCCAAAGCTCCCAAAACCTCCCCAGGAGCTTCACCTGACTAAAAGCATGGGCCATCCTAGGAGATACTAGGAGGTATCATGGCAACTGTAGAAAAAGTCAAAAAACTCTCACAGCTGGAAAGTCATTTCCATGTATCTCCTTTGACTTTTTCAGCAGTCAAAATTTACAGGTATTTACAGAGGGTAAGTTTTTTATAATTACTACTTTTTAAAAAAGGGAATAAAAAGCCTTTTCAGGTTTGTTAAAAGAAAATCAGGATCCCCAAAAGTAAAATTATAGCACAAGACTCAACTTCAGACATCCCCTCCACGGCCTAAGCCCTTTTCCTTCCTTCTTCACCAGGGGTGACCCCAGGAGCAGGCAGCTCTGAGCTGCAACTTTTCTGGCTCTCATCTCCAACAGCAGCCACTTCCAGAAAACAAAGCCTCTGTATTCTTGGTGACAAAACCCTGTGCTGCCATTACAGGAAGATCCACTTCAGATTTTAATTTTTAAGAGACAATCAGCAGCCTCCAATACAGTGTGACACAGGCTTCTCATAAAGGAGCTCAAGTAACCCTCCCATCACAGAGAAGCCATGTTCAGCACTGCAGACCAAAGGCAGATTTTGGGAACTGATCTGTACCTCAAAAATGCATCAATTCCAGGTTTTCCTATGCTGTTCTTTATTCCCAGTGGGTATCCCGAGAGCCAGATGCTCACTCAGGCTCAGCTGACAGCCACCAGCTCTCCTCCCAGTTCAGTACCAACAGGAAAGGTCTTTGGCCAGACTCTAAAAAGTGGAGCTTCTTTACTTATTGCATATTCACCAGTAGTCAGCTGCATCCTACAGACCCAAGAAGATTGCTGTGCAGGTGATACTTCCTCTGCCCCAAACAAAAACCACGGCTGGGTGTGGGTCTTTGTCTATGGATGTCACCACACTACCAATGAGGAGCTTGGTGAAGCTGGTCTTGCTCTCTAGTGAGCCCCAGAGAATGAGCTGCAACACACTGACCAAGTTAAGGCATTATTTGGAGTTCTGTAACTAACCTGTGTTTGAACCAGGGGATGCCAGCTCGCCCCTTGGAAGGACACACTGAGCTCTTTCACCACCCAGTGGCAAAAGCCATCTCCACGCTAACAGACCAAGAAGAGAGAGAAAACAAAGAAGAGTTAAAAGGCTTGGTCCTGAATCAAGCCGAAGCAGCTCTGCAATCACAACTTTTACAGAAGGTTGGTTCCTGAAGAAGGGAGTTATAGAAGGACCAACAGATTTTACAGAGCTGAGAAGGACAGCAGAGATAACAGAGACAACAGCCACAGCTGTGGCATGCTACCTACCAGGCTACACACATGTACAAAAGAATCTGCTTGACTCTCACCAATTTTTTTGAGAAGACACAGGACACCTCAGTGCCTTTTTTTCCCTAGAATTCCCTATTTTAGGATACAATCTTCAAGCCTGATGCACAAAGAGCACCTATATTCTATTTATCTCAAAATCAGGCAATATGAAGACTGACAAATCTATTAAAACATAAGCAACTCCACACAGGAGATTAGCAGAGGAATCAGAGACTGATCAGAAAGGAAGGCAAAGGAACTCTAGAGATCAGAACATTTTAGACACAATTCCCCAGTGAGCACAGAGAGGTCAGCAGTCCAAAGCAGGTTATAGAGATTGTGGAAGTTACCATCCTGTCCCAGCAGGGTTCAGTCACATCTTCCCTCTGCTCTTTCCTGCACCTAAACTCAAGCCTCAGCTTTGCAAACTTCACGGCCCTGGTGCAATAACTCCCAAGATACACCTAAGAGCTC